TTGTCATTGGCAGGCGCCGGCGTGTGGGGAGAGAGAGGTTACAGTAGTGGCTCACCCCCATGCATGTGACTCAGCAGTAGCGCCTGCTTTCATGGCAGTCCAGTCGTCCTACATAGGCATTTCCTGCTGATTTCCTCCCTCTCGTCCCCTCAGTTCATCTTCCCACATCCAGCAGCGGTTCGCACTCTGGGCCCATTCTCCAGTCCCCATGCACCAGCTCCCAGCCCCCTTGCACACCTGTGAACACACGTCCCAGTCTGGGGCCCGCAGGCCCGCGGTACGGACCATCTGTGTATTTCTCACTCTGTCCCATCTGCCACAGACTGGCCACTTCACCCTCTTCCAACAGCCTCAAATGCTTCCCTTCTGTCCCAATCGATTTTCCCGTCGGAGAGGGGGTTACCCCGAATTCAGGACTCTCTCCTCTGCTTCAGCTCCCCCGCCCCAGAGTGCAGGTCCCCATCCGCTTCCTTTCCTCCTCCTTCTCCCTTCTTTTTTTTCCGTCCTACCCAGTTATGCAGGGATCTTTATAGTCCTTTCTGGCGTCCAAGGTCTTCTGCTAGTTTTCAGCCAGTGTTCTGTGAGAATTGTTGTATTTATAGATGTATTCCTCATGTATCCGTGGAGAGAGATGAACTCCACGTCCATAAAACTAGGAGTTTTATGGTTTCCGGTCTTACATTTAGGTCTTTAATCCATTTTGAGTTTATTTTTGTTATGTGATGTGAGAAAATGTTCTAATTTCATTCTTTTACATGTACCTGTCTGGTGTCATTCTCCTGTGTGGTTCAATTTCTCAGAAACTACTGGAGGGTCTGCCTTCTGGAGGGTCTCCTGTAGATGTTCGGGAGAGTAGTCACGGGCTTCCCCGAGTCAGGCATGAGGACCCCAGAATGTCTTAATTGCTCCTTATACAGACCTTAAATTAGTCCCTTTGTTTTCAACCCTGTGCACCACCCTCCAAAGTGCTTGGTTCCTGCAGTCCCTGAACCTTTCCTGGGTTTTGCATTGTGAATATCTTGCTTCTGATCAGTATCAGGCACTTAGGATTCAGCTTCCTCTAATCTGTTAAAGTGGTTACTACTCCTTCATCCACTTCCATCTTCTGACAATTTGTTCACATCTCTTATTTAGTGTTATTTCCTCTTCCATCTTCTTGTGCTTTTATGTATTTTAGTTAGTGGGGTTTTTGAAGAGGAGGCTTTTCATTTCGCTATAGGTAACTAAATGTCAAATTTTAGTATCTTAATTTTCTCAAAATTGGGCTCCCACTCCCTTATGGGACTCCGATAATTATTTTTCCTTTTAAAGGGGAATCAGTACATCACACAAATTTGAGAAGCAATGGATATGGATGTCTGACATCGGTAGTGATCGAGCTGGTTCATCACCTCCTCTTCTTGCTCTTCATTTGCAGTGAGTGCCAGGAAAGACCTACCTATTACTGTCCGAGGCTAAATTGAATTCTTCAGGCATCTTGCTTCTAGCTTAGTCCTAAAGTGGTATACTCATGCACTACGTCCATGAATTTCTAAGCACCTCTAGTGGGTAGGTGGCAGATGTTAACCGTTACGTGGATGAACTTAGTCCCCTGTTTTATAAGTTGTTGAGCAAACAACTGGAATATAATTGCCATAGCCTGAGGCTCCTGATTAGTTCTCGGTTTATTTTTTTGTATTTAATGTTTCAGAGTAATTACTCCAGAGATTACTGAGTGAGCGTATGGAATCCTTCACTAAAAGTCTTTGAAATTTGAGTGCAACCACCTGAATAAGATATTAGGAAGGAAGGAAACTCATGCTGAGTGTGGCACTGGGCTGGGCATTTCTGAGAGAAGAGAGCCATGGGCTGGAGAACCTGGGGTCCTACTTGGTTTCTCTTCTCCCTGTGGTGTTTCTCTATTTGTTGTTGTTGTTGCTGGGAGAGAAGTAGATCTTAGGGTGATTTTTGTGTTCAACAGAAAGCTCTCATCAGAGGAGCTAGAGCGAAAACGGCAAGAGATGATGGAAAACGCCAAGTGGCGGGAGGAAGAGAGGCTGAACATCCTCAAGAGGCACGCTAAGGACGATGAACGGGAGCAGAGGCTGGAAAAGCTAGACTCCCGGGATGGGAAGTTTATCCAGTGAGTGCATCATTTTCCTGCCTATCAGCTTTTGTGGCGATGGTCCCAAGGAGGCAGTTGGGCAACTGGTTCATTCATTGTGTTCCCAGTGTTTCTGTGTTGGTGCGGAGCTCAGCCCCCAGACACCATTGTTACTACTACCAGCTTCTGGCCAGACAGTGGGACGTTTTTCATCTGAGGGGAGGAGAAGTGAATTGGTATTTTCACTGAATCTCCTTGGCCTTCTCCTAAGAATTCATGGCTCAGGAAGCCTTTTTCAAATGAAGCTTGGACTTATTTTCCAAAACAGATACATTTCCCTTATAAATTTATAAAAAATTGAGTTCCAGATGGAGTCACTCGAAAGTTATCTACATGGGCTTAAGAGAGTTTGTGCTTCTACAGCTGCTTTATGGCTAGCAACCTGTTTCTTCTTACTCTGCCAGATAGTTGACCAGTTGACAAATGCATGTTACTTAACTCACCTGTCTTCTCTTCCCAGCCGCATGAAGCTAGAGAGTGCATCTACCTCCTCTCTGGAAGATCGGGTGAAGCGGAATATCTACTCTCTACAGAGAACCTCAGTAGCTCTGGAGAAGAACTTTATGAAAAGATGAAAGCCATCCCCTCTCTTGCTGGTTTTCCTGAAATTTCCAGGGAGGCTGCTGATCCCTTAAAAATTCTCTTTATAAGAGTTCAAATGGCTTCTTCCACAGATGTCAAACCACCACTGTTCAAAGTGACTCTCCTCCATGGATTCCAAAAACAGCCCACTTCTTTTGAGAACCAGTGTGACTTGCTCTATGGGACCCTCAGTAACTTGCTGGGTGCAGAGCAGGTCTTAACTGTTGTTAAATGGGTGGGCACTGGAACATCAAGGTGTGAGCACTCATCTTGCTCTGGAAGGAGGCTCCCTTATGCCTCTTCCCTCCACCTGTGTGAACAAACCTATTCTGCCACCTCAGAATAGACTGGACCTTTCAGAAACCTCTCTCCCCAGAGTCACCCAGATAGTTTGTGCTTACCAGGGTAAACAAACATTTACTTGATTTAGTAGATAATGTGACAGATCATGTCAGATTAGGGCAGAGCCAAGGGAGTGACAAAGAATCTGGAAGGGAAAACAATGCAAAAAAAACCCCTAAATGAACTGTTGAACTATTTGGACTATCTTTCAAACTGTAAAGTATATTGTGTATATGTACAAATGTATAATTTTTACATGCTTTAAAAAAAAGTAGTTAGCTTTGTTAGAATATCTTGTTTGGTAAGTGACTTTACTATGTAATAGAACCACATTGTATCTTGTTATCCAGTAACACAGTAAGGCAGGTCAGCTTTTCTTTCCTCTTGGAATCTGGCTAGTTGTGGAGGGGCCTGGGTTTATTGATAGGATCTAGGGTATCTATCCATTTACACTGCTTACAGTCTCTGATGTGGGCAGTGCAGTGTTGAAGTCAAATGATTTTAGTAGTCAGGACCAAACTACCAGTATGCTCCCTGGCTCTTAAAAGAAAACATAATGGAAGCTGTTTATTTCATGGCTTCCCTTTTATCATGTAGTAATCTTATTACAATTCTAGATTTTCAGGAGTTGTTTGCTATTATTTTTTAGTCAGGTATTAAACAAAACAAAACAAAACAAAAAACCCAGACTCATGGGATCCATCTCCTTGTCTTTACCCCTTTCCCTTCTCTTTTATCAGAAGCCCTCATTTGACCCAGGAAGTCCTAGGCACTCTTGACCCACACATTAGCTGGGCCAGTTCCTTGTTCTGCTAATTCCTAACTCTGCTTAAAATGAATTTGGATTTATATTTTTGAGCACTTATGATGCCAGACACTGTTATGCTTAAAACCCAGTCTTTCCCCAGAGAGAAAGTAACGTACACTTGTTATGCATTTAATCACCTTATCCTGCTTCCCTATACTAGGGTTAATTATGTCTTTTATTTTATTAATTGGTAATAAAGGCTACATTTATTTTTGTAACTGTGCAAAAAGCCACCTGTGCTGAGTAACGAATTCCCATACAGAACAATATTGATCCGCAATTTGTGTCCAGTATAAAATGGAGAGCCTTAGTCTGAGAGGAATTATGTAACAAACCGTGGACAGTTTACTCAAAGATTTCATCAAGTGAGCCAGAGAGTAAGATGATTATAATTCTCTACCGAAGGATAGGTGTCTTACGGTGCCGGCCTGTCCCTTAACTGGACCCTTTGGCGGGAGGAGGTCGGCAGCCAGTGGGTGGGAGCGGGACCCATTCATAAAACCCAGGGCTCCCGGCTGGCTCCTTTCATTGGCCCTGGGGGGAGGAGGCGTGTCCTGCGGGTGGAGCGAGCCCCGGGGCCCAGGGGAGTGGGAAGATCCACGCCTGGGTGCAGCGAGGGGGCGTTTCTTCCCCTTCCCGGCAGGACTTTACCCCTCGCTGTGGTCCTCCTCTCTCCCCCGGGGTGGGGATGGTACGTCCCACCCTCCTCGCATTCCCGCCCCTCCGCCCCTCCTCCCCTCCGGAGCAGTGGCGCCGCCGCCATCTTGGCACGTCAGGTTGAGGAAAGAGCCAAACGCTAAATTTTGGGGCCCCGAACAGGGAGACCCTCCCGCGGTAGACAGCGAGACCTACCCAGCCCTCCTCCCCTCCCCACTCGGCCGCGGGGCTCTGAGGCGCGCGGAGGCCAGCTCAGTTCCTGTCAGGCCCGGGAAGGAGGAGCGGGCCTGGCGGCCGCTGCCTCCCCAAAACGGGCGATACCACCCAGGCGGGGAGGAAAGGGCCTGGTGACTGCGGGGCTGCTGCACCGCCCGGGGGCGGGGTGCGGAGCGGGCCTGCCGGCTCCCTGGGGCGGGGCGGGAAGGGCGGAGCGTGGGGCGGACGGAACCACCGGGGCGGGGTGGGGAGGTAACGGGACGGGCGCGACCATGGCGCGGTGAGGGAGCGGGGGTGGGGATCGGTCCGGGGGAGGCCTGGGACCGCTGGCTTGTGTGCAGTCTCGGACGCCCCCCCTTTCGCTGCCGCCGCCGCCGCCCCGGGCATGTCGTCCAACTGCACCAGCACCACGGCGGTGGCGGTGGCGCCGCTCAGCGCCAGCAAGACCAAGACCAAGAAGAAGCATTTCGTGTGCCAGAAAGTGAAGCTATTTCGGGCCAGCGAGCCGATCCTCAGCGTCCTGATGTGGGGGGTGAACCACACGGTAACCAGCTCCCCGGCGCGCGCCCCTCCGAGCGCGGCCCCGCGCGTGCTCACGCCCCCCGCAGTCCCGGGCCTTTGCCCGGCGGGCCCCGCCAGTGACGCCTGCAACCCCTTGGCAAGCCAGTTGCACGCCCACCCCACCCTTGCACGCCGTCCCGGCCGGGTGTGCCTCCCCGCGCGCCACGCGAGGCCTGGTGTCACCGTCGGTGGTATGCCGTCGCGTCCTTCCCTTCTCTCCAGTCCCTCAAGCTTCCTGCGTCTGGCTTCGAGCAGCTCCTGGAGCGCAGAGGGAAGGCCTGGGTGGGGTGGAATGGCTTTCATCCCTTCTTCCTCTCTTCTCGCCTCACCCCGTTTGTTGCATTTGTTTTCCCCCATGTTCCTTATAATTGGCTGCCTAGCTCACTGTCCAGTTGACAGGGCAGGTGGCACTGGCCTGCCTGAGTATTCCTCTATTTCTGGTCGCTTGGTTGGTGTGACTGCTCAGAGTTTCCCCATCCTCCAGACCTCCTGGCCACTGACTGGAAATCCTCCTTGGGTTTCCTTTTTTTCTTCTTGAACGGGATGTATCAACTGAAGAAGCACAGGCTTCCTTGGACCACAGACACTTTACCAGGGTCTTCCTGGGTTAGGGAGAAGGGAGAATGTAACCATTTGAGAGAAGGTGAGGCCTGCTTATGAGGACCACTCATAGTAGAAATGATGTGTCTTCCTGAATACTGTGGTGTTCATGTCAAAGATGTTGACTTCTCAGTTACTGAGCTTTCTATTGTATGCTCATGAGGATGTGATAATGGACAGTGATTAAGATGAGAGAGAGGTTCCCTGGATCCTTGGGGTGTTTTGAGATTGGCCAACAGCTCCTGTTAGGAAGTTGGAGCCCCGCACAGTGTTTGATCTGGAGGACTTCGTTTGTGTCCTGTTTGTTTGGGATCTTCTTTCTCTTCCAGCCACTTGCTCCTTGCATTCTGACCATTTCATTGAGTCCCTACACCGGAAATGAGAAGAGGAAGTAAGAGGACCTGAAATGCCAGCTTCACCAACTAAAAGTTTGGAATGAGAAAAATGAAGCCAATGGCTTGAGTTTCCCGTGAATATCAGTTCTTTAGGCTCCCTGACTTTTCTGAGCACTTGAAATTGCCCACAAGACCAAATGATGACAAAGGGGCGCAGGGCCAGCAAGACTTTTTGCTTTGCTTTTCTAGAAGAGCCTCTGGCTGGAGATTGATGAACCATAGTCTGAGCTGGGGTTTTAGATCCTTACCGCTAATACAGAAGTGCACAGGGAGGTCCTGGGCAGGTTACTGTTTTCGGTAACCTCACTGAGGTGGACGTCCTGGCCAGGGTAGGGAGAACCGCTGGTTTAATGCCTAGACTTCTGGGAGCTGCTTTGATTCAGTAGTCCAGCAGCATTTGTTGCCACTGCTTCCTGCTGCCTCAGGGGCCATCTGACAACATTGCAAGGGAAACTGGGTCAGCAAAATGTGAACCCTGTGTCCCTCCCTTGAAATCAATCCTTGATTTTGTTGTGCAGCTTGTTTCTCACTAGAAAGCATCCTGTCTCTATGGAGAATTGGTAGAGGTCTGAGAGTCAGGAATGTTACAGCTAGTCGTAAGGGACTTCGGGCCCCTGATTTTATACATGAAGAAATGGAGGGCCTAGATGGAGGATTAGGTCGCCTGTGGTCACAACAAAAGACGCAGCTCGTTGTCCAGTACTGTGGGCTGTGTTGGCCGATGGTGGTGCTTGAATAGGAGGTCTCATTTTATTTGCCTCCTTTTCCTTGCCCTGCCTCTCATCCAAGTGCCAGGACAGATGGGAATTATGCTCTTGTTAGAGAACCTGAATGTTACGGTCAGGAGTGTGTGCCTGTGCCTGCCAGTTCCCAGGAGTGTATGTGGTGCTTGGTTTTCTGATAGGCAGGCAATGAGTCTCTGGCAGATGAAGAGGCAACTGTGATTCCTAGTCACCCTCTATTTTTGCTAACTTTAAGAAAGTTTGTTTGAGAGCTAGCTGGGAAGGCATTGACTTTAAGCAAGACCCAAGCCTCTGGACATAATGAGCGAACACCTCAGGGGAGATGCACTGGGCACCACTGCCCTGGACAGGCCGAGCTTTGGAGCTCAGTTAGTCAAAAGTTTTCTTGCTTTCACTTAGCCTGCAATAAGGTCTAGAACTTCGTGGGTCCCCTTGGGAAATGGAGCATCTCCCCAGAAGACTATAAAATCTTGCAGTTCTCAAGGGAGTCGGGACCACATTGTTTTGGTGGATTGATAGCCTTTCTTGGAGGTCACCTTCCTTCAGAAGCCCATCGTTGCAACTTTTTGCAGTCTAAGTTTTCAGATACCACCTTTTCTTTGATTCTTTAGTTTCTCACCCATTTAAGCGTTTAGGCTGTGATGGTCTATGGTTGATGGTGTATGAGACATGAAGGATGGATATGTCTTTATCTGTAGTACAAGTCAGTTACATACTCTCTCATGAGGCGGTTGGTTTACTTCTGGGTGGAAAAAGAGGCCTTTGAACTCAGTGTTGTAACAGGAGCTCCTCTTGTGGACAAGAGATGCAGCCCCTGGACTTTGTGGAGGAAGACTGTGTAGGAAACAGGGAGAAAAAAATCAGAAGACTTTGGCTCTGTCAGGGGAGAACTAATGGAGAGAGAAAACCAGAGTTTTAGTGAATGAAGTACAGCCCAGAGGGTCTGGAGTTAGGGAAGAGGTGGCCTGGGAGAGGATGTGGAGACCGGAGGAGGCAGACCTGGCTTGATAACCTGTTGGCCGTTTTAGGAACCGCATATGTATGAAGCCTCATCCCAGTGATCAGAAGGAATAGGGGAGGTTGATGGTAACTATGTTTAATTATTTGGAAAGCTGCCTGACTGGCTCTTCAAAGTGACTGCACCATTTTACCTTTCCACCCGCAGTGTGTGTGTGGGTTCCAATTTCTCCACATCCTGTCAACACTTGTTATTGTCTGTCTTTTTCATTATAGCCACCCTAGTGGATTTGAAATGGTATCTCATTGTGATTTTGATTTGTGTTTCCCAGATAGCTAACAACGTTGAACATCTTTTCATGTGCTTATTGGCCAGTTGTATATTTTCACTGGAGACATATCTATTAAGATCCTTTGCCAATTACTTTTTGCCCATTTTTAAATTGGGCTATTTGTCTTTTTATTATTAACTTGTAAGAGTTCTTTGTATATTGTAAATACAAGTCCCTTATCAGATACATGATTTGCAAATATTTTAGCCCATTCTTTGGGTTATCTTTTTTACTTTCTTTTTAAATTAATTAATTAATTAATTTTTGACTGTGTTGGGTCTTTGTTGCTGTGCGCGGGCTTTCTCTGGTTGCAGCGAGCAGGGGCTACTCTTCGTTGCAGTGCATGGGCTTCTCATTGCAGTGGCTTCTCTTGCTGTGGAGCATGGGCTCTAGGCACGTGGGCTTCAGTAGTTGCAGTGTGCGGGCTCAGTAGTTGTGGCTCGTGGGCTCTAGAGCACAGGCTCAGTAGTTGTGGCACACGGGCTTAGTTGCTCCGCGGCATGTGGGATCCTCCCGGACCAGGGCTTGAACCTGTGTTGCCTGCATTGGTAGGCGGATTCTTAACCACTGCGCCACCAGGGAAGCCCTTTTTTACTTTCTTGATGGTATCTTTTGAAGCTCAAGTTTTTAATTTTGATAAAGTCCAATTTATCTATTTTCCTCTGGTTGTTTGTACTTTTGGTGTCATATCTAAGAAGGGTTTGCTTAACCCAAGATCGTGAAGATTTACTCCTATATTTTCTTCTAAGAAAAACTCAGCGTTTTCTAAGAAAAACTCTTTTAGTTTTAGCTCTTACATTTAGATCTGTAATCCATTTTGAGTTAATTTTTGTGAATGGTGTGAGGAACAGATTTATTCTTAAGTCTGTTCAGTTCTCTCCCACATTCTACCCCCATTCTGTCCACACATTTTCTTTGCCTAATGCAGACCCAGAACCTCCTTTCCCTGCCTTTTTCTCTTTTCCTGCTACTTTAAAAATCTTTAGTAAATAGGGACTTCCCTGGCAGTCCAGTGGTTAAGACTCCGCGCCTCCAATGCAGGGGGCATGGGTTTGATCCCTGGGAGCTAAGATCCCATGTGCCGTGCAGCGTGGCCAAAAAAAAATCTTTAGTAAATATTCCTGCTCTAGTGAAGCCTTTGGATGAATTTGTCCTTCAGCACACCTTCCCACCTCACAGAGAACACTGGGACTCAAACAGGAAAAGAAAAACCAAGGTGTAAAAAGGAGGAATAAACCCAGGGGTGGATTTGTTGGCACCTGTGGCTCTCTGTTCTTGCCCCTTTCCTTTCTGGAGTTTCACATCTCGCTTGGACCTCCTTGGTCTCGGGAATGTGTTCCCCGACATGTCATGTTTTCTGATGGTGGCAGGTAACAAATGATTGTCAGTGGTGGCCAGCCCATTGATGAGCCACCCACAGAACCCTGGGACATGTCAGGAAGCCTGCATGCCCAACGCGCGCCTCCTGGGTAGCAATCCCTATGAAGGTCGCAGAGGGAAGTGGAGGCTTCTGGAATCAGAAGTTCACCGGACTAGAACTAGTGACTGAATTCTCATGTCCAGTAGGATCAGCACAGAGTAAACGCTCTGCTTCTAAGTTGTTTCTCACTCAGCTTGTTTAGCCTCCTCATTATTTATGCTGATGGCTCATAGAGTTAATCTTGTGGATAATCCAAAAACCACTTACATGATGTGAGATACAACAGATTTACCATCCTAATATGTTCTGTTTATCATGCTACTCCAATGAGTTTGCATTCCACAAGTACACTTCTGCTGAAGGTGAAGGAGGTTGGCCGAGAAATGTGCTAGATAGTAAAGGAAAGGCACGTCTTCCTGAAACATTGCTTTAGTCACAACCTTTCATGCTTCAAAGCTTTTGGTCACTCTCCTTTATTCTCCTCTCCCTGGCACTTAAGACTCTTTACATTCTGGTCATAGCCTCAGTAGCTAACCTTAATCATCTTTCAGGCCATGAACCTTAGGCATGGTCACACCAGCTTTGCTATCTCTTTTTCTTTTTATCCTAATGTTAGCCATCTTTCAGTCCCCCTTTTCTAGCCATCCATCCCTCCAACCAACATTTATTGTATAACTAATTGTGCCAGCCATTCTGCTAGGGACATAAAAATGGGTAAGGTAGTCTCTTACTTCTAGGGGCTCACAGTCTAGTGGAGAAATGAAACATGTAAGCAAACAATAACCCAAGCGAATGTGATATTTATGATATAAAGATGCACATGGGAATGAGTAACTAGTTCAACCTGGGGAAGACAGGGGAGCTTTCACAGAAGTGTTATTTAGTGAGATCTTGGATGATTCTCTTAGCTTTATACAAGCTTCTTCTATTCTTGCTGCCATAGTCTACTACCTGAACTATTGTAATAGCCCCGTAAATGGTCTTGCTGCTTCTTATCTTTGCCCTGTCCAATCCTTACTTGATTTTGATTTCAGAATTACCTTTCTGTACCACCCATCTGATCATGTGAATTCCCAGACTTAAACCTGATCAGACTTAAACCTGAGAGGACTTCCCATTGCCTGCAGAGTTAAGTCCAAATTTATCATATAGTGGACAAACTAAGTTCAAATTCAGGCTATGTCCCTTAGTATAGCTTTGGAGTAGTAATTTTTCTCTCTGAGATTCATTTTCCTTTTCTATAAAATGAGCATAACACTTTCCTTGCAGATCATTAGGACAGAGGAAAGGAATGGAAAACACTACCTTAGCCAAGGTAGCTGCCCATAAGAAGGATTGCACAGCACAGTGTAAAGAGCCCAGGTTTTGGCACCAGCAGACCTGGGAGCAAATCCTGACTCTACACATATTGTCTGTGTGACCTTGAGCGAGGTGCCTTGAACCTTTTGTAAAAGGCAAAATCAGATTAATAATAATTAATGTGACTATTAAATATTAGAAATATAGAATAGGATATATATGTGAGATATATGATATATAATATATAATAATATAAAGCACTGGCCACTTACAGACATTCCATAAATAGAAGCAGCTGTTATTTACTAATATTGATAATATGTGAGGCTGCTCACCTGTCTTTCCTGCACTGTCTCCCTCCACTACTTATTACCTCTGTCCTACCCTGCCACTCTCCCCCCGCCCCCCTACCTAAAATGGGCAGTATACTTTTACAGCTCTGAGGCTTGTTTCTGACTGTTCCCACAGCTGGGATTCCCTTCCTCGGGTTTTGTGTTTTGTTCCTTTTTCTTTTGGAGAACTACCCTCGTAGGCCTTTCTCACAGGTATTTCTCTATAGCTTCCTCTGGCCACCAGCTCTCCCATGCCCAGGCAGAATCAATCATTTCTTAAGCTACTTTTCCGTCTACCTTTATTCATAACTCTATAGCACTCATCACGTTGTATTTGTTATTTGTTATCTGTCTTCCCAGGTAAACAGAGACCATATCTTTTCATTTTTGTATCCCCAGCTTCTGGCACATAGTAAGGCTACACTGAGTAGAAGTTAACTGAATAGAAGTTTGGCAGCGTCTGAGCCAGATCAGGAAAGACCTTGATTGCTAGGCTGAAGGAGTTAAAACTTTACCCTGAGGTTGGTGAGGAGCCATGGAAGATTTTTAGGCAGGGTGTAACGTGATCTTGTTGTGGGTTCTTCCAGTGTCAAGTGCTCTTGGCAATACCAGGAGGGGCATTAGGTTCCGTTTTCTAGCCTGACGTGTAAGGGCTGGGAGTCTGACTCTGACCATATTAACCTCACCCTCCTCTGACATGGCTGTTTGTTCACCGTCCCTGTGTTCTCACTTACTTAAATGCTCCTTGACTTCCAGATTTACTGTATCATAGGTTTGTGTCATCTCCCGGATAAAAGGATAAGCCTCCCGCTTTTGTGTGCACAGTGCACACAACGCTTCCCTTGCTGCACAGCCCCTTCTCCCTAACATAAAATGAAGCATGTAGTAGGTATTTCAGTAAGTGCTTGTTCAACTGAAATTGAATAGAACTCTCTGGGGATGTAAAATTTAGCACAACTAAAAAAAAGAAAAAATAGTACAGCTAATCCCTAGAGTGAATCGTCTACATGTGGCCCAGTGGAAATGAGGGTGAGTCTACGTAGTTCAGCTATATGGATTGTTCAGCAATATATTATCTGTTAGAAATTTCCTGCTGTTGGATTGTATAGTCAAGAATAGATATGAATTGAGAACTAAAAACTGACCAACTTACAACTATTCAAACTATGCTGCACTTAGAATTGCACAGAGAGTTAATGAATGGAACATCCCTGAATAGCTCTTATTAGAATAATTCATCCTGGCTAAGGGGCAATTGACCCCTCGCAAGCAAGTGTTTTAGTCTTTCCTAGTTTTCCCAGTAACAAGCCCTGGCCATGGCATAGAGTCTGGATTTTAGACTAACCCAAATCAATCAGTAGCAGATACTAGAACCTTTTGGTATAAAACCATATTCTTTGAGCCAGTGATATGTTCTTTCTAGCATGGTGGAATAAGCTAGAAAAGGCAGAACTTAACTTTTTTAAACTCTCAGAGCCAGGCTTAATATGCCAGGAAAAAGGAAGTGGGACAGCTACAATGAATTGTTTCTATTGGCAGAAAAATGATGCGAAATGGTCTCCTCTCTAGTCGCTCACTAAACAACCAGCTTGCCTTGTGAGCACCCCCTGGAATGGTAACTGGCAGAACTTTTTTCTGTGGCTGTTGAGCCAGTGGTGGGCATCTCAGACCTGGATGCTGGGAATTCTAAGTGTACGATTTGAGGACTTTCGACAAAATGATGTACTCACGTAGTCATCATCCTAAACAACATATAGAACGTTTCTAATAGCCTAGAATTGCGCCTCTTATGTCCCTTTATAATCACCCACACCCCTCACAGCCCAGGCAGCCTCTTACTGGCTTTCTGTCACTATAGATTCTAGAATTTCATCTAAATGGAATCATACACGCTGTACTTCTACGTTTATGCCAGTCAGTTATGCCAGCAGCTTATTGTCTCTGCCCCACTGCCAACTTACACTGCTACCCTGCGGCCCCTCCCCATACACACACACTCCTTCATTTCCCTGTGAGTAAATTGGGTTTTTCACCAGCTCTAGGAAGGTATGGTTTCCCCAGCCCAGTTACTACATTAACTTGAACTTCCTCCATCCTCTGCCATTTCTAAATAAAAAAGGTTTGGAACATGAAAGGAGCAGCAAATTACATGGTATTTCCCCCCATTTATGCTCCTGGAGGAGTCCTAATGACTAGGTTATTCCCTCACTGCCACATGGGGCCTCATTGAGATAATAGGATTTGCAACGAAAGTATCCAGGAGACACAAGACTATGCTCCCCCTGCCCCCTATCCATTAAGTCGGGACTAAGGTTTCCTCTCTAAATCCTGAATGCATTAGTGGCAACTGGGTTGAGGGTCAAATGTCAAATACTCTGCTGTGATGGGAGAGGACATCTGCGGCTAATTAGACCACTAATTGGCTAAACTGGGGATGGGGAAGGGCAGGAGCTGCCCTCTCAGCTCTGCACCAATGGGAAGCCAGTTCCCTGTGCAGCCTCCAGCTCCCTGAAGGGGGGATGAAGGACAATGAGAAGGTTTGTTTGCAGTGGGGGCAAGGCACCCTCCCGCATCTCCCCCAGTTCAGCACAAGAGAGGACATGGCTTTAGGGCCTGGCCCTGCTTTAATTAGGAGAGTAAGAACGAGCCAGTGGCCAGATGTCTACCTCTTCTGCTCACTTTAAATTTAATCCTTTACTTTGGAGATAAGAGTTACATACCCACATAAACCCATCCAGCTTTTTTCTTGCCCCAGGCTGATTTCTTGAGTGATCCCCAATTGTAATGAAGATGTTCAAAGCCCTCAATTAATACTCACATAGGTTGGGTGATATTTATTCATAGATCCATTTATTATTGCATTTGATAAATACATATATAGTACCTGCCATATGCAAATCGTGGTGCCAAGTACCATGTGTGGAGCCTCCAAGGTCAGTTAGATGATCTTTACTTACAAAGATCAGTGATAGGATCTTGCCTAGCTTATAGTCAAGCAGGCTTGTGAGGTTTGTAAGCGTTAACTGCAATGTGAGGGAGGCTGTGAGACGGCCAAAGGATGGATACAAACAATGCTTCAGGAATCCCGAGATAGGAAAGAACATTTATGGTCTAGAGAATCATGGAAAGCTTCATAGGGGAGGTGCCTTTTGAGCTGGACCTTATCAGGTGGAGAGAATTTCAGTAGGTAGAGATGAAGTTGGGAACTTATTTGAAGAAAAGAACAGAAATAAAGACAAGGAGAGGGGCTTCCCTGGTGGCGCAGTGGTTGAGAGTCCGCCTGCCGACGCAGGGGACACGGGTTCATGCCCCGGTCCGGGAAAATCCCACATGCCACGGAGCGGCTGGGCCCGTGAGCCATGGCCGCTGAGCCTGCGCGTCCGGAGCCTGTGCTCCGCGGT